GGGGGGGCAGGACAAAGGCCACGAGGCAAACAGTGGGTGAGTGAAACCACAGATCCTACTGTATTTCAGAAAGGACACAGCAAAAGCCTCTCTTGTTGGAATCTTAACTACAGTTTTTCTGCATCGTCCATGAAGGAGTCATGCTTAGCTTGACGAAGTGGAACCTTCCCCACGAAAGCTTGCAGTTTGTTTGATTTTTTTTTTAGTGGTCCAATAAAAGGGATCATCCACTCTTACCACTATTTAAGAAAGGGACAAAATAAGGACGACTGGTGGGCCAAAGAGGGACCACCTTGATGATTCCCGTTTGAATCCACAGCTCTGCGGGTGCGCAACCCCTAGTTTTCACAGAATGCTGGTTTTCGGAAGGCTCCGGCCACTCACCGAAGGTCAGCAAGAATCCATAGAGCATGCTGAGCACCCAGGAATACCAGCCCTTGTGCTCCATGTAGAGGAGGCTGTAGACGGCGTAACAGCCCAGCAGCGGGAAGAGGATCCAGGAAAGATACCGGAAAGCCATCTGCGGAGGCAAAGCAAGCAAGGGGACAAGTTTGAAGTCGTTAACCCTTGCTGGAAAACGAGAGCATCTAGAAAACTCAGAGCTCACTGACTAGCTAACGAGCCTCACCATCTGGTGGAAGCAGCAGCTTCTACAAATCCCCATCAAGGAAAGGATCTCAACCCTTCCCATCAAGAATGGATCCCCCCCATCTTTCCCCAGCAAGCGCACCCAACACTTACGTCATCGTAGACTTTGGTCGACGACTCTATGTATGTTGACTTGTCTTTGAAGGTTAAGCGTGGGAGGATCCCGGCAATTTTGTTGTCCCAATCCAGCTGTTCATCCGCAACAGAGAGGAGGACAGAACAGAGAGAATCCATAAAATGGATCGGCAAAACGCTCCAGCAAGCTGGTGGAAGCAGCAGCTTCTACAAATCCCCACCAAGGAAAGGATCTCAGCCCTTCCCGTCCCCAGCAGGGCACCCAACACTTACGTCGTCGTAGACTTTGGTCGACGACTCTATGTATGTTGACTTGTCTTTGAAGGTTAAGCGTGGGAGGATCCCGGCAATTTTGTTGTCCCAATCCAGCTGTTCATCCGCAACAGAGAGGAGGACAGAACAGAGAGAATCCATAAAATGGATCGGCAAAACGCTCCAGCAAGCTCAAAGTCAATGCACCCAAATCCCTACAAAACAGCTAGGAGGGAAAACTTTTCATGATGAAGAATGCAATTCTAATACAGTGGTGCCTCGCTTAACGATTGCCTCGTTAAATGGCGAAACCGCTATATGATGACTGTTTTGAGAGGATCCCGGCAATTTTGTTGTCCCAATCCAGCTGTTCATCAGCATCAGAGAGAAGGACAGAACAGAGAGAATCCATGAAATGGATCGGCGAAACGCTCCAGCAAAGTCAATGCACCCAAATCCCTACAAAACAGCTAGGAGGGAAAACTTTGAATGGGGCAATATGACTCAGGAGCCGCAAGTATTCAGCAGAAGGACAGAATCAATGGTAATTTTGTTGTCCCAATCCAGCTGTTCATCAGCATCAGAGAGAAGGACAGAACAGAGAGAATCCATGAAATGGATCGGCGAAACGCTCCAGCAAAGTCAATGCACCCAAATCCCTACAAAACAGCTAGGAGGGAAAACTTTGAATGGGGCAATATGACTCAGGAGCCGCAAGTATTCAGCAGAAGGACAGAATCAATGGTACTGTGCAACACAGAAGCAGCAGCAGCAATAACTACACACTAATCGCTAGCAATGAGTGTCTCTTAAATTAAATCCCTAGCTTTTCATGATGAATGCAATTCTAATACTGGAGATCCCCCCAGAAGCAACTTTAGTACAGATTTAAAAAAAAACTGGTGATCTGTTGTGGAACCACCTTGTTGAAGGAAGTAACAATGGTTACCCAGACCTTGATGCTGGTTGTCTCGTTAAGCGAGGCACCACTGTACTGGAGATCCCCCAGAAGCAACTTCAGTACAGATTTTTAAAAAACTGTGGTGATCTGTTGTGGAACCACCTCGTTGAAGGAAGTAACAATGGTAACCCAGACCTTGATGCTGGTTGCGAATGGCCCCCACAACAGTTCAAGCTTCAGGGCCTCAAAAATCTAGGTCTGCCCCTGGAGACGTGGGTCCCCTTCAAGCCCACAGCCCTGCCCTCTGGCTCTTACCCTGACATCCATCACTTTTGTGATCTTCCACAGATCAATGAGGAGGCCAATGAAGACGCTGACTTGCACCACAAAGTTAGTCTCGTTATCCAGGATGTAGAGGAGAACCACGAGGGACTGGAAGACGCCGAAGAATACGGACCGGACAGAGAGCCCCTCTAGGGATTGCCTGCTGTTCCAGAATTGGATATCTGGAAAAGAGAAGGAGAAGCGCAGGTTAAACCCTAACCCATCCTTTTCACCACCCAGGTGTGGTGGTATTTCACTGGGCCTCCTGCCAGGCATGTCACCACCTCATGCTTCAGTACTGAAGCTGGAGGGCAGAAAAGAGCTGCAGGCAGGCTTTTCGATGGATGTGATGTTGCCTTCTGGGTTAAACAGCAAAGCAGCTGCGCTCAGGATTTTAAAAAGAGAGACGTTTTTCAATATTTTAGAACTTACCATTTTTGAAAGCGAGGAATTCGAAAATACTATGTATGATAGATACAATAATGGTCAAAGCCAGTAGGTAGGGATTGGTTTCTAACAGAGCCACCTGGGGAGAAAAGGAGATCCTAGCGCTAGTTATTTATTTAAAATGTATAGGCCCCCTTTTCTAAGGCGGCGCACAGTATTAAAAGGAACAAAGACTAAATAATGAATAATTACAATAAGCATTAAATAAATATCATATTAAAACGCATAGTGAGGACACTATTTAAAAACTCAGAATAAAACACGGAATAAAAGTCAGAATAAAACTCAGAATAAAACTGCTCTTTTGAGAAAATCCCCTTTGCTGAAGCAGTAATTGAAAGAGAAAAGTCTTTGTCTGCTTGAGAAAGGACAGCAAAGATATAGCCAGCCCGGAGTTTTCGGAAATCCACAAAGCCATAAACGTGCCAGAAGCGTCAAGAATTGATATCCTCATCTTGCCCAAGTGGTTTTACAATTTCCAAAATTTCTGCAGGGTTTTCTCTATTTTGTAGATCAGTGTTTCCCAGCCGTGGGGTCCCCAGATGGCAGGGAGGCCACAATGCCCAGAAACCTTCACTGCTAGGGGTGCTGGCCAGAATTCCTGGGAGCTGGACTCCAAGAACATATGGGGACCCCGCTGTTGTAGACCATTCTGTACTCTAAATCAGTGGTCCCCAACCTTGGGTCTCCAAATGTTCTTGGACTTCAGCTCCCAGAAATCCTGGCTAGCAGAGGTGGTGGTGAAGGCTTCTGGGAGTTGTAGTCGAAGAACATCTGGAGACCACTACTCTAAATCACAAGACAGCTGAGGAATACGGAACGCAAATGACATAAAACCTTTCAGGATAAAATATTCTCTTTTCTCTACAAGACAAAATCCTATAAATTAGTAACTCTCATCTTCACTATCGTACGGTCCATTACGGGGAAGAGAAAGATGGCCCCGTTAGCTTTGAGGACACGGCCTGGTGGCCTGGCTTACCTTCACGGAGTCCTGCTCCTCGTCGGACTGCTCGTACAAGTCCTCTCCTAGGAAGTTCCAGGGGGACTTGGTGCTCTGAGCGGCGTACAGCTGCCATCGCCACAGGGAAAGAGGACAGAAGGAAAGGCGGAAGGGCAGCCGCTCCACCGTCTCGTTGATGGGATAGTAGTCCTTCTGCAAATTCCAGTAATCGTTGAAATACAAGATGGGGTAGTAATCGCCACTCACGGCGTCGAATTTCACGTCTGCAACAAAACAGCCAAGGGATGTTCACACCGCCCCTGGGCTAAGAGGCTATAGCGGAGGGAACAGCAGAATATAGAACCGCAGAATAGCTTGAGTCGGAAGGGACCTCGAAGGCCATCAAGTCCAGCCCCCTGTTCAGTGTAGGAGAATAGCTTGAGTCGGAAGGGACCTCGAAGACCATCGGGTCCAGCCCCCTGTTCAGTGCAGGAATCTCAAATCAAAGCAGATCCGACAGAGGGTTTTCCAATTTTCTTTTCAATGTCTCCAGTGTTGGAGCGCTCAGCACCTCTCAAGGTCACTGGTTCCATTGTCATACTGCTCTAACAGTTAAGACATTTTTCCTGATCTATTCAGCCTAAATCTCGCTTCCTGTCACTTGAGCCCACTGTTGTGTGTCCTGCACTCTGGGATGATCGAGAACAGATCCTGTCCCCCTTCTCTGTAGGACTACCTTTCATGGGGGGGGAAGGAGAGAAACAGCTGCCACCCTGAATTAAAGATCTTACAATGGAACAGAGAGTTGTGCATGTTTACAACTATATGATCTTGCTGCACTGGTTCCCCACTTTCCTTCCACAGAGAGGGAAAAAAGGAGAATTTGAGCCTGTTGTTTTCTGCCAGGTAAACCAGCACAATGAAATCATCTAGCAATCGGAGTTGAGAGTACATGAAATGGGTTATACAGGTGGGCAATGCTTAGCTTCTGAAGTAACTAGGAGTAGATATCAGCATGTATAAAAGGGAGTGGGCCACTAGTGTTCCGTTTCGTCTTTCCAATCTGCCAATATTTCTGCTTTTAGACCAGTAGGTGTACTGAAATAAAATGCCCCTTTTTTGGGGGGGGGTGAGCGTTAAAAGAACAAGTAAATAACTGGACAGAAGGGCTTCTTAACTCTGTGAATACATTTCTATTGCACGCTTTGATTTCCAATGGGTATGTTTTAAGTGCGGCTGTCTCCCTTGACTGGCTGCTACTTCAGACTGTGATGTTCCTGCTTAAGGAAAAATGCTACACACCTTGTTTCATATGGGTGCCGTTAAATGTCATATGTTGCCTGATGGCATTTTGGTAAAACAGCACAGTTAATAGATCAAGGGAAGATGCACAGCTCAAAGTCAGAAAGGGAGGATACAGAAATCCATTGATACACAAAACCAGGGCCAAACTAGAAGGAATCTTTTCCCCGCCCCCCCCCCGGTGGGTGGCTATGAGTATCTGTTGCTCTTACACTGGTCCAGGGGCGGAGGAACACTGCCCTTGACCCACGGCGTGTGGTCATCCACAATGTTGATGGTGAGGTTTGGGTGCCAATGTGAGATCACTTCCACGGGGCCGAAATCTTCAGCTCTCTGCAACAGAAACACAGATTCTTGAGTCCTCTTTGTCAGATGGGGCAAGAGATCAGAAGTGGATGTGAGAGAGAGAGAAAGAAAGACAGATTTGTTCGGGGCAAAAAGCTACCCTCAGGCTTCCAACAGACTTCTCAGCAGCTCACAAGCAGGGTTCCCGTTACTCCATAAAAGTTCCTGCCGCCCACCATAAACCACAACATCCTCAGTTCACAAACAGCTCTTTCCCAGATCAAGCTTTAAATGAAACTCTAGATGTCACCATAGATTGTGCTTCCTCCTTCACCACCTTATATTATTTCCTCAGCTCTACAGATAAGAGCAGTCCATGGAATTTCCCTTCTCCACCCCTTCAGGAGGAAGAGACAGAAGGTGGGAAGCCTCCGCATGTTATACGGCAAGGCAGTGGAAGAAATAATGAAAAGCGTTTCGCAACATGAAGCGCAGCGATTGCCCAACCATTTATCAGAGGCTCCACTCCACTGGAGCGCTTCAGACTGCCAACACTAGGATTGGAAGGGCTGAATGATTGTGTGAGAGAAGCTAGATAGGGAGAGGAAGCTTTGCTAACCAGAAGCCCCCTTGAATCATTCCTAAAGCGAAGAGTGAAATGGCGACCTTGAGGCCGAAAGGGGGGAAAAAAGGGGGTGGGGGAAATTCACACAAAGCAATGGTTACTTTTATCATTTCAGGATCCGCTTCGGTCTCTCCAGTTAGCAAATTCTTGGTTTTCTGGAACCGTCTGCGTTTGTACTTATTTATCACTGCAAAGAAGAAGAAAAAAAAGGAGTTTGGGTGAGGAGGGAAAAAAAGGATAAGTAGCTAGGAAACCGTATAAATAACAGACAAAGCTGGAGAAGGCGATTCCAAGATCGCAAGGTCCTTGCTCCAATTCAGGTTTCTAGTGCTCATGATTGCAAGAAGAGCTTTGAAAACAGACTAACAGCCCATTTTTCCCCCTGAAATAATAAGCTACAGGGAGGTGGGGAAAAGGTCAATACTTGTTACACCCTATTATCTTCCCCAAGAGTGTAAATGCACTGCATGCCACTGCCCTGTTTGATTCCTCATCTCTCTTCCGACCTCCTTCCTGTTATTCTACTGATAAGGAACCAAAGAGCCAGCCCCAAACCTTTTAATCTCCAGAAACATTAAGCAACATCACACTTCATCTGCACAAGCCAAATCTCCAGGCCTGAGACTACCGAAAGCAGAAATTTGGCCTTTCGGCAGCCTGGAGATGGATGCACAGGGTTATGATTGCAAAGAGCATACAAGCTTTTATGAGATCTGGACACTTGGAGAAGGAAACAGGTGGGCAGATCCTCCGTGCTGTTCCCACAAAACACAGATAACTGTTTAAGGGTACATTATCTCCCCACCCCGCTTCTTCTTTCTCAAGGCTCAGCCCAGATACTGCTTTGCTGAAAGGCAGGGTTATCGCTCTCTCAACTTTAAATTCAAAGCAGTAAATTCAGAGGCTGTGAAGCAGGAAACTTGGCAAGTGTTCTCTTGTCCAGCTTGGCCGGAAGTGTCGCAAAACGCCTACGGGTCTCCATATGTCCGATGCCACTATTGGCGCATCGTTCTGCAAACCACAAAAGGATGCTGGAACATGAAGTATATGCTCAGATTTGAAACAACCCACCCTTTACTGGGTCTTTGAGGGGAAAGGCCCACCCGCAAACACCGCAAACTATGCATGCAAGGGATCGGATGGGCTACAGCTTCCCAGTGTTTTACCATATGCATGCGCTTGCAGAAGGGCCACTGCTTGTCCACCATCACAATAATCACTGCACGGAACATCTGCCACATTATGCGCCAAGTGGACCATAAACAGACTGAAATTGCCTCCCTAGAGTACTCAAGCTCTCATTATTATGCTGGACAGCTCGGTGGTTTAGGCATCTCGCTGGGGAGTCAGAGGTTGGGAGTTCAATTCCCCACCATGCCTCCTTGACAGGGGTTGGACTTGATGATCCCTGGGGGTCCCTTCCAGCCCTGCAGTTCTAAAATTATTATTATCCCCACAAGCTGAGTCTGAAAGGGAGAAAGAGTACTGACAGAGCCTCGTGAAGACAGAACAGGAACTAGACACGAGTGAGTGAGTGAGTGAGTGTGAGTGTGTGAGAGAGTGTTCGTGTGTGTGTGTGTGTGTGTTCGTGTTCTTAGGAGTTGTGAAAGGGAGAAAGAGTACTGACAGAGCCTGGTGAAGACAGACAGACAGAACAGGAACTAGACACAAGTGGAAGTGTGTGTGTGTGTTCGTGTGCTTGTGTGTGTCAACTCTGGTGGGTCTCCCCTGGAAAAATGAGAGCCGGCTTCCAGTTCTTAGGAGTTAAACGGGGGAGGCGGAGAGATGACCTGTTTAAGAGAGGACCTCCAGCCCCTGTATTTTAAGTATTAAAGGATTCTTTTTCTTATCGTTGGAAGTAAGAACAATTAAGAAGGCACTTGAGGTTTTTTTCCCCATCACAGAACAACTGGTAAGGGGTGGAACAGTGCGGAGTGCTGGACTCTTGCCCCCGAGACCATCCTCTGTAACCTTCTAAACAGCAGGAGAAAGAGAGGACTTGGAGGAGGGATGAGGGAAGGCTTACTTCTTGACGTGTGGACGGTGGCGAGGCGCCTGTACAGAGTCTTCTGTTTCGGATCGGGGTGGAACCCGCTCTTTGTGAAGTACACATGGATATAAATGGAACCGTTGTGTTGAACGCTCTGGAATCACACACATACACAGGGAGACATCACAGTGGAGCTACGGGCACAGTCCGTTTTGTGAACGTGTCATGGAGGACAGAGAGAGGGGAAGGTCCTGGAGCACGTGAAGAAGCCGCAGCCCTCACCTCATGCTCCTGGAGCAGCTCCCTCCCACCCACCTGAAGGCTTGGCGCCCTGAAACCTCTCTCCCGTTTCTTTCCTTTAGTTCTCTTGTCTTACAAAAGCCCGTCCTACCGTTAGGCAAAGTAAGAGAGTAGCCTCAAGAAGCGCATTTGGAAACAGCATGAAACACAGTTATTCGACCTGTTGTGGTGGTAACTCTACCACCACATTGTTGGGATTTTCTACCTTGTAGAAAGAAGTGGGCTGGCTTTGGAGACTCTTCTAATAAAATAGAGAAATTTGCCATTCCTTCTTGCAGAGCGAGATGTCTTGGGGCCAGTCCGGGCACATAACATTTTAGAAGCCAAAGAGAGAAAGCCCTTCACAACCCAGTCCTAGCCTGCTCCCCATCACAGAATCACGCAGTTGGAAGGGGCCTATAGGGCCATTGGGCCCAATCCCCTGCTCAAGGCAGGAATACGAGTCAAAGCGGATCGGACAGAGGCTTGTCCCGAGATTCTCTTAAAGGCCTCCAGCACTGGAGCACTGCTCACCCCTCCCAAGGTCATGGATGCCATCGCTGTACTGCTGTAACAGTTAAGATATAGTCCTAGCCTGCTCCCCATCACAGAATCATGGAATTGGAAGGGGCCTATAGGGCCCTCGGCAAGTGAGGGCAGGGCGCGAAAATGATTGCGGCGGCCATTTTGGGTCGTCCGGTGGCTATTTTGGAGCCGCTGAACAGCTCATTTCCCGGCGTCGCAATGCGAGTTTTGGCCAGAGGCCATCGGTAAGCGATCGCATTAGCGATCTCAAAAAAGAGATCGCTATGCGATTTCGTCGTTAATAGCGAGGTTAATCCGTTCTGGATTAACCCTCGCTATGAGGAAACATCGCTAAACGGGATGCAAAATGCCATTGGAACGATTAAACTTAGTTTAATGCGTTCCAATGGCTTCTATACTCACCGTTAAGCGAAGTTTCCTCATAGCGCCGCCATTTTCGCACCCTTGGTAAACGAGGGCAGGGTGCGAAAATGGCTGCGGTGGCCATTTTGGGTTGTCCGGCGGCCATTTTGGAGCTGCTGAACAGCTGATTTCCCGGCGTCGCAATGCGAGTTTTGGCCATAGAGGCCATCGGTAAGCGATCACATTAGCGATCTCAAAAAAGAGATTGCTATGTGATTTCGTCGTTATATGGTGCGCTCGTTAAGCGAGGCACCACTGTATGTCTAATGTGGCAAACAGGGCCTGCACTGCAGATATCTCCACCCCACACAGTGCGGTGGCTGGTGTCTTTTCAACTGGCACCTCAGATTCAGGCTGTGAGGCACTGTTTCCCTGCAGCTTAAGCTCCCAGGGTCTCTGGCTAAGCCAAAGTACCATCTATACAGAAAGCAAAAAAAAGTACCTCCAGCCCAGGAGAGACCGTTCACGGGCATGCAACCTCTGCTTGCTGCTGTCCCACTGTGGACAATTAGGGAGAAAAGCAAAGTCCACAGCAACCGGGGGGGGGGAAGAGGGAATCTGGTTGGGGCAGTGCTGGAGAAAGAGGCCAGTAGCTCAAGCGGATCACCCACCTCAGGAATATCTAACTCTGCATAGTGTTCGTAGCACCCATCGGCGTTCTCGCCGCTTGTCCAGTCCCCGTAGACAAGGTCTCGCTGCTCCCAAAACAATGCCGAGGTAGCATTGAAATCTGTAAAGTGCTCATGCTCTGATATATAGACATAAAGATCCTGCAGGGGAAAGAGAGGATATTTATACAAAACAGGCCATTCTATATATTACAAGCTGGAGTAAACGGATAGAGTTGCGATCGCTCAGAAGGGTAGATGTTCACTTTTATGTACATCCTTGTTCCACGGATCTTTCACAAGTTTGTGTTACGAGTCTTTGGGGTGTGTGTGTATGTGTGTGTGTGCGCAAACCCCTGTGTCTGCCCTCTGTCTCACTTACCATTAAAGTGTCTTTCGGAAAAAGATTCCGGCTCGGTGCCCTGGGTGCTCCGCCAGCGCTGGTTTGATCCTGTGGTGCCGGCCCACGACGGAACCAACTGCTGATGGCCCAGATGATAAAGATCCTGGGTGTTCAGAGCAAAGAAGAGGATCAACTCATGCGGCAGCGATCAACCAGCCCTTCTCTCCGGAAGCAGTGAAAAAGAGTCCGGGGAAATTCCACGCCCACTTTGATTAAATAAAGACCTCTGCAGAAAATGAACTTTTATCAGATATCATAAATTTGCTTGGGTGTTGACCGATAACTCATTTGTGAAGAAAGGCTGAAGTGTTAAAAAAAGGGTGTACTCTGCTCTCTGTTTCATTGAGCCCCTCATCCTCATTAGGAAGAATTAAGGAAGAGAAAGTCAAAGTCACTTAAGGGAGGCAGAGCTGAACAGGCTGGGATGAACCTTTCCCAAGTTTCTGATGCCACCCACCTTGCAGAGGGAAGGGGGGCGGGAAAATCAGGAGCCATTCTGCGCAACTCAGAGCCACCGACGGTCCCCGGAACGCGGTAGGGCTTTGAAGGAGAGATTCGGCTCAGGGCCTTGCACTAAAACAGTCATCCAAACCCCTAACCAGAAGCTCCTGCCATGTCTTTTAAGACTTATAAACCAGGGTGGATAGAAAGACATGATTTCACTTGGCAAAATTTAAATCATGATTTAAATTAATTTGATTTAAGCCAAACCAATCCTGCTTCCAAGCACTTCGGGTTCCCAACCCCCTATTAAGCTTTCTCCCCATTTTAGAATCCATAATTCAGTCTCTTCTCTTTGCCTCTTGTTGCCAGAGAGCCTGGGACTAACACTGCTTTTGCAATATCCTTTGGGGAAGCAGGAGAGATACCATCAGCAGAACTGGAGGCAACGGTGCTCGGCGAACATCACACCTCTCAACGTGTATCTTTGCTGATAAAGCCTATGGCTTAACATTTGGAGGTGTTTTGATTAACGACATGCGTGGCTCTGCCGTGACATGTATACTCTTGCACACACAATAAATACTGCCCTCCCCCCCGCAAAGCACATCAAACTGTGAAAGGGAGAGTTTGCTGCAGTTGTCAAGTTTCTTCCAAAATCTGTTTTATGATGAACTGCTTTAGCACTTATTAGCATTACTAATCGCCTGACAATAAAATACTGGCATTGCTCTTCACATCACTACCAAGATTTTAAATAGCAACAGCTACTGGCGATTGTGCCGTTCCTCAAATGAACTCAAGATGGTATGACTGCACATCTCTCTGGGAAATGCATAGCTTAAGCCTAATGTTTCATACTGCCTCTGTGACTCAGATCTGGGTTTCTAACTGGTTAGCTGCTTATCTGTTACAAGGCCCTGTGGTATCTTGAAGAGTAATCCGTTTAGCACAGCATAAGCTGCGGTGGGCCAGAACCCACAAAAGGTGGTGGTAATATACTGCCGTTAAAAAAAAAAACTCTACAGAAACAGGACTTTCCTAAGCTTCCTTTGTAGGACATGTAGCAGTGGACAGAGTCGGTGAAATCTTAAGACGGATTAGGAAGATAAGACCCATCTGGTAAAGTTTGTAGTGCCCATAGCTAGCAAGCCTAGCATTGGCTGCTAGAACAGAGGCCCCCTCATTCAGGGGAAGACAAACCTTTTGACTGCCTGAGAGCCTCACTTTTGCATAAGAGGCATGCTGCAGTTATCAACTCTTCCTTGCTTGAGAAAACGTGGCACCCGAAGTTTTCGCATCCTGCTCCCTTGCCTGGTGGCCTCCACCATAGCTACTAATGCTACCAAAATATAAAGCGAGGCACCAGAGGCCACTGGTGATGGTGAGGCAAAAAAATATTGTAAATAAATAAATAAATGGGCTCTTCTGTATTAATATGCCTGGAGATAATCAGCTGACTGGGAAGGAGACCGAACCAGCACTGTTCACTTCTGCTGCTTCATGAATCATCAGTGGAAACTCATCAGCCAAGGAAGGCCCAAGTACGCGGTCCGCTTCACAAATCCGATGAAAAGATGCAGACACCTTTCTTTCCTTTAGATGGCTGCCCGCATCTTTTAATTTGAATTTCACACTCAAGACAAGGTCACCTTCGTTCAAGCCCTTGCCTCACACAATACTATTACGGAGTTTTCTCAACACAGCCAGTCGACCGAACCCTTTCCAGTCAAAGAATTAATTAGCTAAACCTTTCTTGCTTCAAACTTGACAAAGAGCCACTTGGCCTTGACAAGTAAGACCTGGGCAGTTGGATGATGGTGATTTCAACTTTTATGCACCTCATCAGTGTGAACGCTCTAGGGAAGGTTTACAAAAATGTAGGGGTTTTTTTTGGGGTGTGTGTGTTATTTTCTTTTTAGATACAAGCGAGTAAAGCATTTATAAATAGATGGGTCTATAGTGTCTTCTGACAGATTAAAAGTGGAATTTCTTTGGTTGCCAACGGTATTAGCAGTGCTTTGGAATAACCAGCTAATCCTTTTAAAAAAATCCATACAGAATATTTTAATCTATTTTACGACTTCTTCTAAGCTTTCCCACTTAAAGAGGGTAGCAATCACCTGGAAAACTCCCAATCCAATGGAAGATAAATGATTTTTCTAACTTCAAAGATGTGCTTTGGATCCATCTGTGCAATGAGACTGAAACTGTCACCAAGGAAGGATTATAATGATTTTTTTTTGCACGCTCACAATTTTTAAAAATGCTTTCTTGCAGCCTTTGCCCATTTTCAGGGGGAAGACATGGTGGCGCTGACCATGCTCCAAGCCGATTTGCATTAATAAAATGAAATGTTTAACTTCTCTAATCATTCCGAAGGTCGCCACTGGGTTGGCAGCGGATGGGTGCCAGAACATTTCTGCTGATGTAGTTCCCAGAAAACGACCTGGCTTCCCAAGTGAGAGCAACCATAAAGGCTTGGGAAGCAGAAAACTTCATCTCCGTTTCCCATGGGGTCACCTTGATCTACAGCATCCATGCGCGTGTGTCAAAATGGACGGACTCCTACGGACCACCTGGGTTTGCAAGTAGTAGAATGGAGACCATAATAGAAGGAGCGAGAGCGCTGACCTCTTGAGACAGCGTCACCTAGTTTTCTCACCAAAAGCATGACTCCAACTTATCTCACACTCTCTGGGACCATCGCTGGCCCTGTTGAGGTCCTGCCTCCGATGACTGCTCCTTGATCAGCTGTAACTTACTTCGCCATGTTCTTTACCTTCCTGGAGTCCCATAAGAGTGAATGACAGAATGGGGTCAGGCACTGTTCTTAGCACAAGGGCGCCAAAGCTCAGCTATAGCTAGCAACTCTCAGTCTAAACCTAACCAAAGTAGTGTGAAATTATATCACAAGCCACGCAAGGCCCTTAGGACTGATGCGCTGCAAAGAGGATACAAGCTCATTCAGTTTTAAGAAAGGAGGAGAGGGAGGAGAAAAATGTTGCTGAAGTCTGAGAGCCAGGAGAAAACTGGGCTTCAGCACAGTTCTTAACTGGATAATAAGCGAATAAAGAACCCATTCAAATATCTCAGGAACCTCTGGAGCACTCCTTATGTATTAAAAGCTGGCGCTGAGACTCGAGATGATGTAGATGTTGTGTGGAAAATGCACTAATTCAAAAGACTGCTGCATAGGCCCATTCCTTCCGAGCCATACATATTCCCAATGCATCGACGTGAATGTCATACACAACGCTGGTGTGTCACTCAGTTTAAGAAAAGTTGCTTCTATGGCAAATCCGTTCTTCACACAGTCATGCTTGGAATCAAATACCTTCCGTGAAGGACTGCGCATCCTAAAACCAATGAGGTTTTGGATTGTTCTGAGGGATAAGCGCTTGTTCTGTACATTACACTGCAGCTTCTACATTAGGATTTGATGACCTCTCTTGATTTTGTGACTTGGACACATCATAAAGGGAAACCAAGCCAGCCCTAAGCTTCTCTCCGGAACATTATTACCTGCTGTTTTACACACCGCACTATCAAGGCTCTCCACAGCATTTAAAATGCTGGCTGCCATGTAAGCACGAAATAGCCCATTAATATTTTGCCTGGGAAGACCCTGCCCAAAGCCCAAGAAATGGTGTGTGACACTCTGCTCACTTATGCTTAACGAGAGAGCCTGCTCGTCAGCTGCCGTAAGTCACATAGTTTGCCAGAAAGATGCCTCTGGGACTGGTCTTATTCATTCTCTGATTTTGGAAGGGCACAGTATTGAAGTGACCATAAATTCAACACAGGCTGGGGGAACCATCCCAAGGCTACAAAACCGTGTGTAGCCTCATTCTCACGAAGAGCAGCTGAAGCACTAAACCGGCTTCCTGAAACCACCACTACAAATTGCAGGTGATTGGGAGGGATGCATGACTAAATACCCCATGTACAGAAGTACCTCCTGCAGACAAAAATGTAGATGAGATGAAAACAAGATTTATGTCTAACCTTCCCCCTGACACGTTAGCTTTCTAGAAACATGGAAGACTTATACATCCTGGGAGTCATTCTGACCCTAAAGGCACCTGTCAAGTTTGTAACGGGAACCATGCAAGGCATTTCCGGCCTGCAGGTTTTGACTTCTTCTTTGGAAGTTGATAAAGGGTTTCTATTTCAACTTCTATTTCAGAGGGCAAAAACTCAGACACATTGGCCTAGGCGACATGAGTTAAAAGTACTCTGCAATGCACACAGCCCTTTCTCTTTCACACTGGGTGTATTCAGCATTTCTATTATACAAAACTAAGGTTCTCATACTTCTCACACAGAAGCCCTGTGCACGCTTACCTGGGAGTGAGCCCTACTAATCAGAGTGGCACATAAGTCTATGGAAAACACACACAGCACTGTTTTATAAGTACATATGCATATACAAAATCGGAGGCAATGCACTTTAAATTGTTAAAGAAATAAAATAGGCATAGGTTTCATTAAAAAGTATTATAAATGTGCCAACTATTCCCCCCACCCCATGTTCAAGTCTCCTCATTCTGCTCTTCCTACATGCTCACAAAAATGGGAAAAACAATGTTTTGTCCAAGACTTCTAGAAATGGTACTTTTTTCCCCCTTGTTTAATGGAGCATTCAGGAATGTGAACTTCTACCTGCCATCTAAAGACATAATCGTTAAGATAAAAGTTTTATCAGGCCATCTGCCTTTCGAGAGACATTGTCTGGCTCTTTAGTGTAGAATTGACCTTGTGCAGCAGCTAAGCCAGCCAGCTGAGGGCCCGTTGGGAAGTCCCTAATTCAAATCTCATTCCTGCCATAAAGTGATCAGATGGCTTTAGGGAAGCTGCTCTTCCTCCAGTCGGCCAAGCCCAGCTCATAATCTGCAACAACCAAGGTGTGACCGTTGTAAGGATTACCAGAATCAGGTTTACTATACGTTTGGAATAAACCAAAGCCTTACAGGAACAAAAATAACTCCTCTATCTTTTCAGATGCACAACAGGGGTGGGGGGGACACTTCTGCTTTTGCCAATGTATAAAATTCCAACTTGGGAAATCCAGAATCGCATTGAGGACAAACTGTAGTAGAGAAACATCAACAAACCCACACCCCTCCTATCAAGTTTGGTACGTGCCCAAAATAAACACAGGAGGCAACATGGCCGCCCCGCAAACGGGGAAACCTCACCTGAACAAGACTCCTTTGATCACCTGCCAGGCATTGGGAGGTTGCTGCTGGGGCTGGTTCGGTTGCTGGGTCTCAACGGGCCCTTCGCCCCTTCCGGCAGTCCCATTGCTCGTTACTTGCTTTATATGCAGAGAGAAAAACGGGAAGAGAGATTATTAGAAAGGCTGTGTTTATCATACCACACCAAGGACTGAAGTGTCTGTGCTGTTTCAAAAACCCCAGTGAAAGGGGGACCTCTCTTGCTTTTCTTGTGTCTTTGCCAGCTCTGGCTCCCCAGATGTTTTAGGACCACAATTCCTATCATCCTCATCCAACATGGCAATGGCCAGTATTGATGGGAGATGGGCTGCAGTGTTACCTAGGGATCAAAGGTTGAGAAAATCTATTTTGGGTATAAGAGTCGGTTCATTTTCTCAGGAAGATCATTTGTACTGTTGTTCTGTTTAGTTGTAGAAAGGTAGTCTCACACATCCAGAACGTGCCATGTTGAAGAGGCCTCTGTCTTGAAGGCATGGCATCCAACAACCTGCACAATCATAGCTGATAGCAAACTGTGGCACCTCTTCCCCTTTTTCAGCCCCTATGGGCATCCAGTAACTCCACCCTTCAAACGCTGTTGATTCTTTCAGAGAGAATGTCACAAAACCTGAGACAACCTCGTCAAAATCCCAAATGCAGTGAAGTCAATTAAGCAAACATTTGAAGCAGCAAATTCTTCTACGAACTGCTATCTGAATGCCATAATTCACCATAAAACCCCACTCCAATAGCTCCCCATTCTATTTGCAAGAAAGAACACTAAGAGACAGAAGCTTTATGATCCAATTTGCAAGCTGTTGATAAAAACTAAGGCTTTGAATCTAATATTAAGTTACAACAAATTAATTTAATACATCAGAGGAAACAAAAGATTGCAGTGCAGGTACGTTGTGTGAAAATCTAGAAGGAGGGGTGGAAGGGAAAAGGTGATAGAGTGTAAAGAACCAGGTAACAAATATCTCTGGGAAATCCCAAAGAGAAGGGAAAATTTTAACTGAGAAGATGCAATTGATTTTTAAAGTATGGATGACAGGCAAACAAAAAAGATTAAATGGGCACTAAGTGGAAAGTCTCCCAATAAAGGATAGAACAGGTGTAGAAGCGGAATTTCCTCCACCCATGCCCTGTTCCAAGCAAGTATACCCAGCAGCACCTGGAGCTGGCCTTCTCCAAACATCTGAGACCTCTAACGGATTTCCTTGAATTGTAATTGGAGAAAGATGTGAACCGCTTACTACTTCTAGAGAAGGAAAAAAAATCCCCACTCCCATTGCAACCCATCAATGTTTGAGAGTCCCTGTTCTAACCACATTTTCTATCAGGGAGAGGCAAGCGTCAATCAGCAACTCACTAAGAGATGCAACAGGGAACCTCCCTCGCCTTCAGGATCAACAGAACGATTAAACCATGTCCCACTTTGAGACAAGACAGAGCTGTCTTTTGCAGCAAAGAATGGATGAAAATACCCAAAGGTAGAGCAGTGATTCATGCAGGCACACAGCAGGAAGCATCCTCTATAGGGTGAGTGATTTGGGCTGATAGGAGATTTTAATTAGGCTACTATTTTTCCTCATGGGGCACCAGCATTCCCATCACAGAAGTCAGGAATGAATGACTTTGAGACAGATGATGAGCTGCAGTGAAAAGATAGACCATTTCATCTCGAATGGATAGCTTGGTGAACAAACAACACTGTCTCTGAGAACAAAGTACATTTGGAGGCAGGAAGTGAGTGCCATTCTCAGGATCAAGTGACAACTGGTGAGGGCATTATGTCAAGCAGAAGAGCTTCCTCGTTTGTCAGATGGGAATGTTTTTTTTTCTCTTGAGAAAAAAGGGCAATGTAATAAGCAAAACAGGACTGCAGGTTGGCCAAAGAGAGAGCACCAATAAGTTGAGTGAGGCGCTCATCTGCCTGATGAAAAAGTACTGTGTACTATGTTAATGTCTCATGTAGAAAAGGGCTGCAAAAAAAAAGAGCCTTAGAAAAGAGGCAGGGCAAAATAAACCATTTTCAAAGTGGGGGGGGGCGGATTTCACGCAGGTGGACAGAGGAGGAGGAAGAAGAAAAATCATTTCCTAGGTAAGGGGAACAAAGGCCAATTCTCCAAAAGGAGAAAAACAAAAGGCAAACAAGCAGTTCACCAAAAAGCCATAAAATAGGTGACATTGGCAACAGCATTAGGTGATTCCCCTCTGTCTAGGTCAGGCTGAGCAAAGGATCACATGCTGCCCCCCTGAGATAATTTTTGTTGTCCCCACCCCCCGAAAGTGATTGTAGGGGGGGAATATTTTCTACTCCACCCCCATAACTTTTCAGGGTTGAGATGGTACCCAGTAGGTCCTGACAACAGAAAAATTGGCCCCTGGGCCATCCATAATTGCTCACCTCTGGCCTATATAAGGGCTGGAAAGTACTGCGTAATACCTGCCATAAGAAGAGACAAGTTGCGAAGTGGGTACTGTGCAAAAAATGTGAGATGAGGGGGAAGAGAGAAAGAATGAACTTGGAAAAAAGGGGGAAGAGAAAAGACGACAGCCAAAAAAAGCAAGGAGGAGACTGGCATAAGGGGGGGAAGCCTGGAGGTGAAGCAGACACCACAGGACTTGGGAGTGGAAACCCACCTGGGTTTGAACGTTTTTGAGAGATAGCTTCCAATCAGTTTTCATATGTGGATCTGTTCCATAGGGTGCTAAAAGCTTCCGGGCCACCTGATGCACAAGACTCAGGCAGAGAACTAGGCTCCCTTTGGGCAGGCCAGGTGGCTTGGCAGCGAGATATTTATCACTGTAGCCCTGAGCAGAGTAGCAAATGCACATGACCCAAGACAATGTTGAGGAATCAAGAAAGCCAAACCGGAGTCCAATGAGTGGGGAAGCGGAAAGGGCAAAGCCAGAAGGAGTGGGAGGTTAAGGCAACTCGGTGTGACATAACAGCGAAGGAAGGACTTGAGGAGGTGAAGCAGAAACCCCAGGACTTGGGAGTGGAAACCCACCTGGGCTTGAATGTTTTTGAGAGATAGCTTCAAATCAGTTTTCATATATGGATCTGTTCAATAGGGTGCTAAAAGCTTCCGGGCCACTTGATGTACAAGACTCAGGCAGAGAACTAGGCTTGGCAGCGAGACATTTATCACTGTAGCCCTAAGCAGAGTAGCAAATGCACATGACCCAAGACAACGTTGTCTCCGTTTCCTATTCTTTGGGGCCATCATGATCTCACAGCCTCATTTGCTGTGGGGAGGGCATCCTTCCACCCTGCCGGCCTGCTTATTTGGGTGTGGGTGTGGGTGTGTGGTATCTTGCAATTTTCCTGCTGGAAATATACCAGTCTTGGCAGCTGATTCGAGAACAACCATCTTGATTACAATTGTGCTACAAAGCGTGGGGAAACAATACGATTCCAAAAAAAAATTTTGGATGGCTCTTCCTTTTTGGCTTTGGAAGTGGGACAGAACAAGAAGGTACCCAATCCCAAGTCGTACGTGAGGGTGAAACAGGTTATCCTTAAGACTCCCTCATTTGAACCTTCGCTTCTAAAGCGTGTGGAGAAAATAAGCCCCTTTTAGTAAGACCGAGCCCTTTTTCAAGTTAAGATAGTTTTAATGCTCACTTGCTTTTACTTGTTCAGTCGTATTTTAGTTAGCACGTCGTTTAATTGCTTTTTCTAAACGTTTTACTTTTGCTTTTTAATTCTCTTTTTAATATTGTGAGCTGCCTTGGGCCCCCTTACCAGGGAGAAAGGTGGCCTATAAATAAAACAAACAAATAAAAATTAAGGGCAAAAAGAGGCAGGAGGGAGCCACAGACGTACCACCTCCACCCCCTGGAAGGCACAGTGGGGCACAAATCCAAGAAGCACGACCCAGTTTTCCTAGCTAACCGGTGTGTGTGTGTGTGAAAATCACCGAATCGTCCCCTCCAGGAAGCCTCCCTCTTGTTTCTGGGCCTGGCCTCCCTCGCAGGTCTGTTGTGAGGCTAAAAGGAGGGGGCCAATCTCTCCTGTCTGCCCCCCCTTTTCAAAAATAACTCCCCCCCCCAAAAAAAACCCCCAAGGTGTGTTTGCAAGGTCAAATCCCAACCCAAGCCATTTCCAAGGAGGTGGAAAGAAAGGCAGAGGAGTCTGAAAGAGACAGCCAGGAAACTTCCTTGGGGAGGGAAGGGAAGACAGGAAGGGGGGGGGGG